AATTTGCGTCAGGTTACGACCAACTCGGGATGCGCCCAGAGTCACGGAACGGATTAAGTTCGTATCCCGAGGTACCACTGTATTTCACATTTTTCTTTTCCAAATGATAGTGTAGTGACAATTTTTACTATTTGGCTCAGCATGGGAACTAAAGATTGACACAATTCACTTTCCCTTCATTTGACTCATTTGAGTTGGCAGTTAAGAATGATTTTGAGTATGGAGTTTGCCATTTGACAGTTTGCTTTACTATTAAGCCAATAAAAGGTATCACTAGAAATTCTTTGTGTCATACTCTTTCTTGTTAAGCATAAAGTGGTATAGTCTTGCTTCCTATCCCTTAAGAAGATTTGAGAAATTGTATTTTTAAATACAATTTTAAAATGTGAGGGGCTATGTGTCAAAATGATTGTGTGAGTTTTATCACTCCAGTAATGTTCTCGTATTTATTGTGCCTCATCCTTATTGTAGAAGCTTAGTGATTTAAAATTTCAGTGAAATCTATTAACATAGACCACCAATGTTTGTCCCATGATATCAAATTCATTGTGATAGTGTGATTGAAATTTGGTCTCATTTTACTGAACAAAGTTGCTGATTATTTTTACAGCCCAATAGTCCTACTAATGATTATTGCTTCAGTGTGGATAATGAGATAGCCAGTGAGTTCAAGCTGGAATTGGTGGAAAAGCTCTTTGCAATAGACCCAGAATCAAAAAACCCATTTTCAATGCAGGTGAGTGCATTAACCAAAACTTTATGTTCATTCTGTTTTAATATTTACACATCCATGCTGTGTTACTGACAATGCTTGGGCATAATTCTTCTAACACTAAGCTCAGAATACTTAGTTCGTTACTGTGTAACTGGATATAGAGGAGTGGGTGGTAGAATTGTGTCTGTGATCCAGACCCATATGTATCATAGTATTCGTTTCTGAGAAATCGAAACAGTTTGACTAAAGCGACTGCAGTTGGAAAACCTCAAATGGGTATATAGTAGGGTTGTATAGCACTTCAGATTCATTCTCCAAAAAGGTGCTTCTGAGTGCATGGCAGTGTGAACATAGTACCTGACCATAATGGAGCTGCATCTTAAAGGAGCTGCATCTTATTTCTAGAATTGTCTGGCAATGCAAAAAAAGGTGCAGCTGCATGGCTGCTATAAACTGTCATAGCAGGTGGTATATTTGTGCAACTCTGTGCTCTGGAGCACCTGTTGAGGAAAGAATCTGAAGTACTGCAGAATCCTGGTGTCTAGATGGTAAGGTGTTTATTTACTTTAAACTATAAACTATCCCTGGAATCCTCAGCTAGGTAATATCTGTGAAAGTAGGGATAAGGCCATTTTATCAGACTAATGCATATATTGGCTGAACCCTATAAACCCCTGAAAACTATGTTGCTCGCCATTTTGGTTTCAGTAGCATTCCCAGCTAAGCCTTTTGGAAGCAGGAGAAAAACAGGGTTGATAGATTCTTGGAAGATGACAGGTCTGGTAGCAGTTTAACCATCCCTGCAATCTTAATTTTCCTGTGTCAGACTGTGCAGTTATGCATTCTTCTTCTTCCTCTTCCTCCTCCCCCTCTTCTTTCAGGAAACAGATTTAGATTTGGAAATGTTGGCACCTTATATCCCCATGGACGATGATTTCCAGTTGCGCACCTTTGACCAACTTTCTCCACTGGAGAGTAATTCTGCAAATTCTTCTTCTAATGTGACTCCTGTGACAGGGTTTCAGCCAACTCTAATGCAGTCATCTGCTACAGACACGATAAAACCCATGACAATCAAGCATGAGACTGATGCGAAGGTGCTTGTAACTCCTGCTCCTATCAACCCAAAAGCACTCACAGATCCTGCTCCCATAATTAGTGCCCTGGGATCACCTTATACTAAGAATCAAAGTCGGACTGCATCTCCAGTCAGAACAGGAAAAGGCACGATAGACCAGACAGAGCAAATGAATCGAGCAACACCAGACTTGTTGACAGTCACTTTTGGTAAAAGGTAAATGCTGTTATCTGTCAGATCTTAAAGCCAGTCATGCGATCTATACTCTTACATAGAAAGTTGAATGAACTTGGGGATAAGAAAAGTAGTGCTTGCAGGCACTAGTGAGTCCACTGAGCTTCCTATCCTACTTGTCTTTCTTTTAAAATTCATCTAATTAAAAAATAGGGAGTTGACATGCTGCAAAAACACGAGCCTTTAGACTGGAATCAACTTGCAGAAATGCCTTTGTGAGAGTCAAAGATCACTGGGGGGGAAAGGGGGGCTAATTCAATTTTTGTTAAATAGGTATTTTGCTATTGACTGACATCCATTTTGTAAACAGGGAAATTTTCTCTGGTACGGGTAGTCCTCACTTAATTACCATAATTGGGACAGGAATTTCCTTCGCTAAGTGAAGCAGTCATTAGGTGAAACATCATGTGACCACACCTCTTAGTGACAGCAATTCTGGTAGTCTTGGTTGCAGTCATTAGACCAGGACTTCAAACTTCACCTGCCCTGCCATGCTAGCATCCACTTCAGTTCCCCCCACCTGCCTGTTTCCCCCCAACCTCTGCCCTTTTGGCCACCCTGCACTTCATCTTGCGCTCCACCTCCCCTGCTGCCCCCAGATTACTTATGCTGTCTTCTTCCTCCTGCAGCTGATGAGGCGTGCATGGCCTCATAAGGCAGCTGCTGGCTGCATGCACCTCATCAGCAGCAGGAGGAAGAAGATGGCAAAGGTCAGCTGGGGGCGGCAGAGGGCAGGGAGGCCAAAAGGGCAGAGATGCAGGGGAGATGGGTGGGGGAGGTGAAGTGCACCCTGTGGTCGTAAATGCAGGCAGGCTGCCAAGCACCTGAATTTTGATTACATGACCATGGGGGTGCTGCAGCAGCCATCACTTCAAGGACTGGTTGTAAACACTGTTAGTTCAGCACTGTTGTAACTTTGAACGGTTGCTGATCAAATGGCTGTTAAGTGAGGACTACCTGTAGTAATTTGATGGGTATGCCTACAACTGCTTTCAAAATTCCAAATGTGCCCTGGTTCAGAAAAGTCAGTTATCCTGAACAGTTTATTTTTGGTATGCCAAATGTTTCCTTATAGTGATATTTTCCCTATTCACAGATAAGGAATTGAGGATTGTGAAAAAATAGTACTTTAACCAAGTTATTTATTAAACTGAAGTGAGGCTCAGATTTGGGACCTAATATTTTAGCCCTGAACGTCTTCCTAATATGTCTGAACCATTCTTGTCAATGTTGCCATAAGTTGTAAAATTTGTAGTTCACCTTAGGAGTTCAGATCCTCTTCTAATATTTAGCTTTGCATTCTGGAGCATTAGCAGGTCAAAACCGTGAGGCTGAATGCTGTAAAAAACTTACTTCCGAGGTGAGCGGCTATATAAATAGGATAAATAAATAAAATAAAAATAAATACATGAACTAAACACGGAATATGAATAAAATAAATAAAATAAAAACCTAGGGCTAGCCTTTGCTCTGTCTAAATCAGAGGTGCACAACCTACAGCCCCTTAAAGCGGGGAATTCCATACATTTGACTGTATCACCTGCACCATGAAAAAATACATCACAAAAACAGGTGCATCACATACATAGCTTATCTGTTTTGCTCTTAGTGAAATGTAGATGAGCTAGTTTGTTGTCCTCTGATGAAATACATCAGGATACACGCATACTATACATGTTCATTCACTCCATCTCAGTCAACTTTAGCACATTTTAAAACTTGTTGAAATATTCTAAAACAAGCTATTTAAATATTTTAAAAATTGGCATCTTCTGCTATAGAATCTTCTGTATGGTTATTCAGTAATGTGGAAATACATTCTTTCTCAGTTTTTAAATACATATGAGGGTTTGATAGGCCTAAATCAAATCCTTCAGTTTAATTTGCCGCCCCCTGTATACCCTTGAAGAGAATAGGCCCTGCATTCAGCTGTGCTGTATTGGAGGGAGAGGTTGGAGAATTCAAGTTCCAGTATGTGAGTTTTGAGCCTTATAGAAGCTTATTATATTGAGTTCGCCTTCTTTGGGCCAGTTTACCTTATAGTGTGGGTTGTGGGTTATAGATAACAGCACCTAGACCTTGGCTGATTTCGAAAAGCTAAGCATTACTGGGCCTGAGTAGTACTTAGATAAGGGACCACCAGGAAATCTCAGCACTATAGGGCAGACTAGACGTTGAAAAAGATATCTGGGAAGAAGTCAGTGGGAAACTACTTAGTTTTGTGTTGTCAAAAAAACCTACCTGCAGATCCCCACAAAGTCCACCAGAAATTAAGCTAGTCTCAAAAAAAGGTTTACATTTGAAGTCTGAAAGCACCCACTTTGCTTCCTAAATCCATCCCAACTACTCCACCTAAAATGCACACACATACACATTGGACTGAAAATTTCAGCCCCTTCCATTTTAAGGATGTTACCAGCAGTGTGCTCAAGGCATGGCACAAAGTGCAACTCCAAGGTGAAAAAACTTCTCATATGTGGCCTAAACCCTGATGAGCTCACATTACTACGAAAGGACACTGTAGATTTTGTTATATCTAATTATTCATAAATTTAGTTTTAATTAATCTGGAGTAGTTGTTAACAGTCTGGTTTTATATTCCACAGTAGATCAACTGAAGTGAATGAAGATATCAGTCCAAGGATAATAGCTCTCCATAATATTCAGAGGAAACGAAAAATGGAGCAGGACGGCTTGCTTTTCCAGGCAGTAGGAATTGTACGTTTTTCTAGGATTTTCCCCTCCCTTTTTTTAATGTTGTGTATTGCATCTTTAAGAATTTATTTTCCTCAAGTCATTAGGTTGTTACTTCACAAGAACATTACCATTTTCAGTGTAGAGTTTTCAGCCAAATGAAAGGTCTGCTTAGTTGTAGTCTCCCCACTTCTGTCCATTAATAGCACCTTTCCTTACTCAGGGCCTTCCAGATTGGTTGGCTACAACTATGGCCATGATGCTTCAGCTAAACAGAGTTGTTCTTGTTTAGTTTTGGGATAGGAGACCACCAGAACACCTAAGGGCATCAAGCTGGAAGAAGGCAGGGCCAGAAGGCAGGGGCAGCCACTTCTGTGTTATTGCCAAGTAAGCAAGGATATATCCATGTAATCAGGGTTCAGACTTGACTCAGGGGAGACATTACTTTTATTGTTATTGACATAACTACACCAAGTGATTAGAACATAGATTTAATTAAATACATAATTAAAAATTGGCGATGCCTCCATTTAACTCATGACTTGATTTGTTCAGGAGTTTTTACTGGGCAACTTCATTAAAAGCATTTTGAAAAATTTAATATGCAGTTACAATAGGGATCACCTCCATCCATTTACTTGCTGATATTTTAGTTAGTGATTTTACTTTAAGAGGCTTTATATGTTAAAATATTAAATATTAAAATTGTTATCATATCCTTCTTTTTAGCTTGCTTTTGATGGTCTGTTATAAGAAGTTAGGCTTTTTTCATGTGTTTTTTAAGTTTGCTTTAAATCTTGGTTACATGTCACATTCCTTTAGAACAAAATATTTAATTGATTTTTATATAATTAGTAAATGAATTCTTATGAATAATATAGATGGTCTTTTATAATGTTCAAATATGAAATAATTTTGAAATAGAAAATAACAGAGCTGGAGGTCGGACTAATGGCCTATGTGACCCCTTTCGACTCCAAAATTCTATGAATACCAATAGAAAACAGCCACAAAAGGGCAAAAGTGGATTTCCTTTCTTGTTGAGTCATTCACAAAAACAAATCATGCATTTATTACTATAGTTTGGTAATTTAAATGTCAATCCCTTAACAGTCATTAGTACAGTAAAGCTACAAAAAACTTGAGCAGAGATAATCCTGCTCTAAAGGTGAAGAAGCTGAAGCAGAGAGAAAGTAATTAGCATGCAAGCTTTTAAACATGGACAGAATCCTTTTTATTATTTTTATTAAAATGGGTAAATGTTTTGTGAGGAAAACTGAGAAATGCTGCCTAAATACAGTAAATTTTCATAGGATTGCAGCCTGAAGCTTGAAGATAAAATAGCATCCAAAAGTCAGGCTGAAATTTAATGTTGGACTGTAATAACAAGCACCGGTACCAGGTTTCATCTGGCATCAGTATTCTTCCCTCCCCCTCCCCCTGCCACATACACTTCATCAAAATATTTTGCTTTTGTGTAGTTTCATTTCATTGCAATACAATGAATAGATTCTTCCCTGCTATCAAAGATCATATTATCTTCAGGACATCTCCTTTTAAATAAGATATATTTTTTCATCCCTCTCAGTAGTATTTTTGAGTAGAAACTCTGTGGTTACATTAAAAAGGTGTGTATGTTTTTTAAAGGGCACATTATTGGCACCGTCAGGGCCTCCTGGAACGAATGTATCACTGGCTTGGAAACGTGTAAAAGGATGCAGATCAAATGGACAGAATGAGGTGGCGGAAAAGACAGTCATTTTGTTACCATCAGGTCAGTGTCTGTGTATGCTAACATAATCAAACCGGTGAATCCAATAGTGCTCTCCCTTCTCCTTTATCTGTTCTCTGCTGCCCCAGAAAATTGAAACATTACACCTAGTCTTATTATCAAATATCCATAGCTAAATCTCTAGCAGATCACAGATGACTTGTCTATTTATTTGTCTAATTAGTTGCTCCAGAATGTTGTACAAGTAACATTCATTTTCTTTTTCCTTGTAGATATAGCAAGTAAACTTCTAGGGCAGTCAATGGATGAGAAGGGACTCCCACAGCTTACCAGCTATGATTGTGAAGTCAATGCTCCTATACAAGGCAACCGAAACCTGTTACAAGGTGAAGAGTTGTTCAGAGCCCTGGATCAGATCAACTGAGCTTCTCCTGTACCTCCCTCTTCATAATTGTTCTTTTTTCTTGGACATTGGTGATTCACCACCTAAAAGCAGTCTATTTATATTTTCTATATCTGATTTTAGAAGCCTGGGTACAAATACTGCACTAATTCAGTTAGTTTGCATCTGATCCCTTTTCTACTTTGGACAGTCTCTTACATAATGAGTTTTGTTTCCTTCCTTCCTTCCTTCCTTCCTTCCTTCCTTCCTTCCTTCCTTCCTTCCTTCCTTCCTTCCTTCCTTCCTTCCTTCCTTCGTAACTCAGCTAATGATGCATTTTTGGTACATAAACAGTCCAAGTCAGTTACATTTAGAACATGCTTATAATGACAGCTTTGAAGTAGGCACCTTTTCAAAAAGTATTTATTTTTTATTTTGACTGGGAGTTTGTCACTGAAGAATTCTATTTGATGATACATTGCCACAATAAAATTGTCTGAGCTTTCTATCATGTAGTTGTAGGCATACTTGAAGGCACATTGTGCTGTTGATCTCTAATGTTTGGATAAATTTTTACTTTTACTTTTTTTTAAAAAAGAAATATTGCTTTGCAGCAGTGCATTTGTAGCCACAATCGCACAATCTATTTTCTTATGAAAATAAACAAAATACCAGCAGTTCCTCATGCAATATTGTGCGTTTATAAAACTAGTTTTTATGATGAACATTTTTTCTTTTATGTTTCTCTTTTATGTTAATTACCTGTGAAATCATGTAGAAATTTTGGAGTAGTGCTATATTTTTGTTATGTTGTATTTCAAGATGTTCCTAAATACTGTGTTTTAATATTAAATATGATTAGGGAAAAATAAGTTGAGCGTGAGAGGCTAGTAACATCTGGAGATTTTTAGGTTAGGAAAAAAGATTATTGGGGTAGGGAATGGGAATCTCATACAAATATTTGTGGAGCAGGTGGATGGATATTTTTTTCTCCCTTCTGCATTTTAAAAAATTGGGCCCACTGAATAAAGTTGATCTTCAGGCCAGTTGAAAATCAATTTTTTCCCTTTTTTATTTTTTATTTTTCTGCAAATGAATTAATTCATTGCCACAATATGGAGATGGCCACTTTAGAAATGGCTTTCTAAAAGATGACTTTTTTTAAAAAAATGGACATGGATCTTAAGGTCATCTGTGTTTGAAGGCCATGCACCTCCTAACAGTTTGCTGGGGGACAAACAACAGAGGAAAGACCTTTGTTTTCATGCCTTGCTTATGGACTTTCTAGAAGCATCTGGCTGGACTAGATGGACCTTTGGCCTGATCCAGCAGGGCAGCTCTTTTGTTATTTATAGGAAGATATTTTCTTTCATTTGAAAGAGAATAATTTTTTGATGTTTAAGTTGTTTGGCCAGCTCAAAATTCTCCCTAGCTCATAGCTGTGAAAGTACATGCTAATACTGCATACCAATAACAACTTAAATGTTCCCATTACCCTGTTTGGTCGAGGTGATATTTCAAACAAATCATAAAACGTGTTGCTTTTTTAGCAAAGTTATCTAGTTTCATCACTAAGTTGTTTGCTGATAATTCAGTGTTTTGGATCTTAAGTACCTTGTTGCTATTAACATCAGAGCTCCCCCCCCGCCCCAATTAAGCATAACTTTCAGTAATGCTGAATATGCTTTAGAACTTTTTATTTAGGAAACAAGTCACAAAACATCTTATTTTCTTTCTACATGCTGTATAATAAATTCTACCTACTCATTCTTTTTTCCTTTTTGTGGTTGGATATGACACTAACTGTATTGTTTTATTACATCAATAAACTATGTGGACCAGGCCTGTAACAAAGGGTTGTATCTGCAGATGATAGTAAATTTCCAGTGTCTATTGTAATTTTTTTGCTACCCTGCCATGAAATTGTTGATAGTATGCTGAGCAATACTATAAGGATGGGTGCTACAGCTGTGATATGCATGCATTCATTCCAGGATGTTAGAAAAATTTACATGGCTTGGTTTTAAAAGGAGTATGATTCTTACAGTGCAATCCTGTACATGTCTACTTTAACAAGGTGCTGGCAAGTATGTGCCCATTCCCACTCTGAAGCACATTTTCAGTTTCAGATCTGAAGAGCTGCACATTCCTAGGGCATAGCATTTTATATTAGTATAGTGTTTTATTAATCTGGGTTTAGCCGGAGTTACCAGAACTTAAAAATTATTCTAAAGTTGGTAGAGCATAGTATACCTGTTGCTGTTCCATAATATGAAACTCTTGTAGCCTTCTGATGGCCTTTTAATCTCATTTCACCCTGATTGTTGATGTAAACTTTGTCCATCCGTATATGTCAGCTCTTCACCAGGAACTCTAGTACAATCAGAGCTAGTGCACTGCTCTTAACTCCACCTGGTTGATAGGCAGTGTTGAATCATCCTTAGACAAGCAAATCTGAAGGTGGTCTCTCCAAACTGTAACCCTGGAACCTGTGATTACCTGATCAATTCTCTGAGTGGCATTTCCCTAGTCAGGTTAGCGGAGGCTAACGTGAGGATCTATCCAGATGGACATGAATGGGATCTTGTTACAATCTGGTATTTGAATGTTGGAAGAGACCATGGAGTTGATCGGGGATGAAAAATGGTCCAATGGTACTAGTATATCCAGGGCTATAACCATAGTCTCTTATAGTCTTGCTATAAAGGTCTGTCTTCTGGATACAAGGATCTTCCTTGCAGTTTTTGAAGCTTGAGGGTACCTTCCTAAGACGGGAACGGTTCCCTTTTCTCTATATTGATGACTTCCCCTAGGTGCAGAATCTGATTTGAAGGCAGCTAAACTTTATATGAGAGCCACTTCAGTGTAGTGGTCAAGGCATCAGGCTAGAAACCAGGAGACCATGAGTTCTAGTCCCACCTATGGCAAATCACTTCTGAAAAAACTTGCCAAGAAAACTGCAGGGACTTGTCCAGGCAGTCTCCAAGAATCAGACATGATTGAACAGATTAAAAAAAAACTTTATGTTGAGAGAGAGAGAGAGAGCGAGATCTTCCAACAAAATGGATACCCACACAACTTTAACAAAGTGCCATTCAACCCACTACAACACAACCAACAGAAACTATGAAAAGGATAACACTATCATATATCAGAAACATCTCAGAAACAACCAACTATTACAACCACATGGCATCACCATAGCACTCAAAGCGACTAAAGTCCTCCAAAACATCTTAAGTAAATCAAAAGACCCAGTAGCTCAAGAAGAAAAAATGAGTCATCTACAACATACAATGTAATGACTGTAACAGCCACTATGTAGGACAGTCAGGCAGAATAACAATCCATGAACACCAACTAGCAATCAGAAGACATGATGAAAACTCCTTAATCTCACAACACATTGACAAACTCAACCATAGTTTCAACTGGGAAACAGCATCCTAGACCGAGCTAAATCCCAAAACACTAGGGAATGCCTGGAAGCTTGGCACTCAGACACATCAGCCAACAATAGACACATAGAGATAAACCACATTTACACACCATTCATAACAGACAATAAAGCTAAGAAACAGACCAGAACCCATCCTCTCCAGCAGCTTACACCCAGATAAGCAGGCATTAACACCAGACAGACAAGCAAAAAACAATAATCAAGGAACCACCAAGGAAAAAACCACACCCCCACCAACACTGGCAGGGCAAGCTACTGTATATATAAACGGAGCAAACCCCACACTTACAAGCACTGATGTTACCTAGTTGGGTAATGAAATGTCTGAAATCAAGCTCAGAGAGCATCAAGGACTCCACATAACGGATTTAGTATCCAGATCATGGGAAGTATTTGTCCTACTCTACTTTGCCTCAGTCAGGCCCTAGTTGGAATACTACATTCAGTTCTGCATATTATAGTCTAAAAAGGACATAAATGTGGCTACCAAGATGGTGAGGAATGTAGAAACCAAGTTCTGAGAGGAACAGTTAAAGGAACTGGATATATTTAGCTTGTAGAAGAGATGACTGAGGGGAGATATAATAGCCATCTAAAGACTGTCAAATAGAGAAGGAAGTGTTTTGTCACCCTGGAGGGTAGGGGTTGAAACTACAGGGAGGTAGATTCAAGGTAAGTATTTAGAAGAATTTCCCGATGGTAAGGGCTGTTAATCAATAGATTAGGCTGACTTATGAAGTGATATGAAGAACACTGGAGATCTTCAAACAGAGGTTGGATAGCCATCTATCTGAAATGTTTTAGCAGATAAGCAGGAGTTGGACTACATGATTGCTGAGGTTACTTCTATGAATATATGATCTCCTCAACTTTGACATTCCAGGCCTTGTGGTAGACACTATCCTGAAGTCAAGCCACTTGGATTGGGAAAGATACCTTGAACTCAGGAGGGATACTCAGTTAGTAGAGATCTATGGTTATTTCATCAAGAGATGGTGGTGTTAAGGCCAGACCCCTTCTTCTTGCTGAATGTCCGTTTTTAATTCCCACCATGCACAAGATATTGTGTTCCTCAATTTCTGTCCAGATCTTATCAGGCCTAGAGAATGGACCTGGCACAAGCCAAATAATGCATAAAGGTCTCTGAATACCTCCAATGTACTCTAGAGAAGTGAAGGACCAATACCTTTTTTTGTCTCCTATAAAACAGGAAATGGGATATGAGCTATAGTATCAATTATTAGCAGATAGATCAGTATGTCTCCTGTTTCATACTCCCACCAGAAGTGCATGTCCAGCTGCATGCAGGCAATTACCTTTCTACAAGGTAAGAGGTAAAGCTATAATGGAACATAGAATAGTTAGGAGGTGCTCTTGGCTGGCAGCTACTGATGATGGAAGGGGTAAGCATCAGGATGGTTTGTTGGCATTGGGTCCTGATGAAGAAGAAGAAAAAGGAAAAGAATATAAGTAGAACCCCAAAGAAATTAAGCTACTGGAATCTCAGGAAAAGTCCGGAGATGAGAAAAGTGAGATGAGGTATCTGGGGTAGTGAAAGAGAGAGAACAGAATCCTCATTAGAACTGGAGGAGAAGAAGACTAATTATGTCTAAGAGTGAGCTGCTGATGCAGAGAAGTTCCAGGGCAAAAGAGAATCCAGAGGGGCAAGGCAGCAACATCCCATTCTTCCCTGCAGAGCCAATTCAGAATGGTGACAACATCAACAAGATGTTGAAAGAAGTAAGCAAGTATGTCTGGGGAAGATGGGGAGAGAGAAAGAAATAATAAAGTGTAAGAGTTAAGCAATAATGCAGTAAACAACATATGAATATGATAGAAAATAAACGAGCAACGAGAACAGGCAGGTGGAGAATTCAGTGTTCAGGCAGCGAAATATATTAATAAACAGAAATTCAAGGTTAAAAGTGGAAGTTTGTTTATATGTGAAACCTTTGATATTGCTACTGTAGGTGTAGGGAAAATCAACATGCTACACCAAACACTAGAGACCAGCTAAGCTACAGGCTTCACATGACACTGTCCAAAAACCTGCAGATACTGTATATTTGTGGCCAGAAAGAGTTAATTGCTAAGTTCTGTTTTTTAAGAAATAAACCTGGGGTTTGGGGGAAGCAAATTCCATTTCCAAATTCTGATTCTCTGTTTCATTTTGGAGTTCAATATATATATTTCTATAATAGGTGGTCAGTGACAGACAAGCAAATGCAAGAACATTGAAGATTATTATAGCCATTTTTTTAATGGAAATTTCTACAATATCCAGCATCTTTGCTAGATTTTGGACATATGTTTATATAGGTACTTGCAGCTTCTCTTCCATAATATGAAAACATATACCGTAATACAGGATGTTTAAGAATACCATTTGTGTAGGTTACTTAGATTCAACCACTCCTACTTCTTCCATTGTGGTCTTTGGTCAGCAGCCCCAGGATGCAGGCATGACCTCTCTTTATACTTGTCTGCTCCCAAATGTTTTCAGTAATGTGTATGACACAAATGTATGCAACATAAATGAGATTTATTAAGACTGTTCATTTATCAATAGTTAAAACATAGGCTATGCTCTTACAGTATATCTTAAGCAAAATTATATTAACTTACACTTGATACAGATAACCAACAGAAGACACACACAAATAACAACATTGAGAACCATAGCTCCAGTCAGATTCCCAGAACAGATGAGGCAAACCCTTTGCAAGATGGGAGCCTGAGTTTTGTACGTTCTTGAATAATGTTATAACTGGGGGATTGTGGGACTCTTCCCCCCAATATTAGAGATTAGAACAGATATCAGAAAAGGGGCTACAGAAAATGTACATGTCTAAGAAGATGGTCATCTACGTACTACGTACATCTAGGGAATGCGTCACAAGTCAAATAGAACAAAGCAGAAGTTGAAACAATTCAAGAAGGTAAAATTATATTCACCCACACACATGAAGTACTCAGGTGCACCTACCATAGTGTCATAAATTGAGTCAGTGAAAATAATAATAATAATAATAATAATAATAATAATAATAATAATAATTCTACTAGATTAAAAGGGACAG